TTACAGTTAATAAATTCCAGTGCGGAGTTTTAATGCACAGGGTAGGGACTGGAGATGGAGGAAAGGAGGAGACGCCTGTTTATATCGTGCCGTAGAGAATTAGATTTATAGTTCTGGATTGGGAAGGGATAGAAAAACAGTCTCTTTTTATGTAAAAGGGACAGTTTTTTAAAGGAAAATGGTAAATACCAAACTTAGGCTGATCTCCAAGGATGACTGTTTCTTTTTTTCTTTAAAGGCATTTTTAAAAATGTTTATTTATTTTTGAGAGGGGGGAAGGGCAGAGAGAGGGAGACAGAGGATCCGAAGTGGACTCTGACATGGCAGTAGAGAGCCCGACGCGGGGCTTGAACTCACGAACCGTGAGATCATGACCTGAGCAGGAGTTGGATGCTTAACCGACTGAGCCACCCAGGTGCCCCAAGCTTTTTGATGGAGCTGACATTGGATGGCCAGGTTCTATCCTCAGTGTTCCCCACTGCCCAAGAAAATGGGTCTTTCTTCCTCTATGGCAGGATTTGTCACCCTTGGCACTATTGACATTTGGGGCAGGATAACTCTTTGTTGGAGGTAATAGCCTCCGTACCCAATCCAACCATTGTAACGTTCCAACTGGCCCCTGGGGAGCAAAGTTAATCTTGGCGGAGGATCATTGATCTAAGGTGGAAAAGGTACAGTCCTGGCGTTGGCCTGAATGTCTAACAGGGCCACTGGGAGCTGAGGATGTTTTGTCACACGCTAGCCTGGGGGTTCATTGGTTTCTATCGGCATGGCATCCATCTGACTGCCTTCCTCCTGTGTGCAGTTCGGTTCTTCCCTGAGGTGTCAGGTGCTGGGCCATCTTGCTGATCTTCCCCGGGGGCCCTCCCTCACTGGCGAGCTTTGATCTGAGAGCTGCACAACAAGGAAGCTAATGGACAGCTTTGTCAATGAGCCAAGGACTTTGGACATGTCTCTTGTCCACTTTGGGTCTGACTCTCCCCCTGCAGGATTATTGGGTTTGGCTCAATCGCCATTCCCAATGGTGTATTCCATGTAAGCTGACCACGGAAGGGGCTTTGTAGGGGGAAAATGGTCCTGCAGTCACACTGGTTTGGGGAATGCTATGTCCTGCAGCATCTGCTTGGAGATTCATAACAAGCATAAGCACGTGAGAGACTTTCTAGAATTCTCTGCACTCAGATATTCGTGTGGCTCATTCCCCACTTGTCTTCAACGTTATTTCCCCAGAGACCTTTCCCGTCTTCAGATGGGCGAACCTCTATCCATCTTTCTGCACAGGGCTTCTCATTTTCTGACATTACAGCTCATATTCATTTATTTGTTCATCATTTGTCCCCTTCCACCCAGAACACAGCCTCTGTGTCATCAGGGTCTTGGTCTGTGTGTCTGCAGCTTATCCCTAGCACGTGGTCCATAATAGATGCTGAGTAAAACTGTGTGGAATGAATAGCCTTGATCTCATTTGTGGATTCCCAAGTGAATTTAATCAGGGACTTTTTTATTTGCTTCCACTGATTAGAATCTGGGGGGAGAGCTTGAGGCATCACCAGGGGAGAAGGGCTCTAATCCTGGTGACCATGGCCCTCCTGGCATTCACTTCCTTAGTGTGAGCCACTCAGTGCTGAATGTACTTGGCAAGCTGGTATTAGGCTGGGAAGCAAACAGAATGGACTGACTTGTGCACTGTCCATGATGGGAGTTGCTGTCTGGTGAACTGAGGGAGAGAGCAACCTTTGGGCTCAAGTATCTGCTTGCGGCTCCCCTTGGTCAGAGCTGTAGCCCATCTGAGAAAAGTGAAAATAAAAATGAAGCATAGGCGGAGTGTCCACTGTGTACCTGGCACTGTCTACGATGCAAAGGCAGTGTCCGCCTTCAAGGACTTTGGCTAAATTTAGGCTCAGAGCTCAAAGAGGGAATTTATTGGGAGATCACGGCATCTTTAATGAAAGGAACCCAAGGGCTGGCCTGGGCTTCCCAAGGGACAAGGACCAAGGGAAAAAAAGTCATAAGAAGACAGCTATCTCTGAGATCTTTTCTTTTAATGCTTATTTATGTATTTTTGAGAGAGACAGAGAGCGCGCAAGCACAAGCAGGGGAGGGGCAGAGAGAGAGACAGAAGGAGACACAGAATCTGTCTGAAGCAGGCTCCAGGCTCCAAGCTGTCAGCACAGAGTCCGATGTGGGGCTCCAACTCATGAACCACGAGATCATGACCTGAGCTGAAGTCAGACGCTTAACTGACTGAGCCACCCAGGCGCCCCTATCTCTGCGATCTTATTGTTCAAGTCTGCCTCTTCCTGCTTCCCTTGCTTCACCACCTGTGGCCCATCACGATGGCCCCTAAATGGCTCCCAAATCCCTGACACCCCATCACCCAACAGCCTCTCCATCCATTGCAGGACCAACCACTTCCTGGAAGAAAAGTATCTAGCACAGCTCAGCTTCTGATTGGTTTTCCTGGGTCAGGTGGACACATACCCCAGGTCCAATCAGCTGTGGCCTGAGAGACTGGTGCTGACGGGTCACCAACATGGCTGCTGAGAGTCCTCCTTTTGGGTGGGAGGCTAGGTGGGAATTGGCTCTGCTCTTTCTTGGCCCTGGGGCTTTTTTAGGCCCAAGAACAAGTGTGTGGCTTCTTGAATTTTCTCCCATATCTCTGTCCTTTTGTATTTAAGAATAGAAAGAGGATGACGAGGAAAGGGCTGGGAACTTTAATCTGGTTTTTACTTTTTTTTTTTTTTAGCTTTTCTAAAAATGTTTTTTATTTATTTTTTGAGAGAGACAGTGTGAGCAGGGGAGGGACAGAGACAGAGAGGGAGAGACAGAATCTGAAGACAGGCTCCAGGCTCTGAGCTGTCAACACAGAGCCCAACGGGGGGCTTGAACCCACGAACTGCAGGATCACAACCTGAGCCATAGTCAGACACTCAACCGACTGAGCCACCCAGGCGCGCCCCCTCCCTTTTTTTTTTTTTTTTTTTTTTAAATACTCACAAGAGAGCCCTGATAGGTCTGGACCCATGAGCAAACAGGGTGAGTGTGTGCCTAGGGGCATTTTGAGGTGAAGGTGGTCCCCACTTAATTTTGTGGGTAATTTTTCGCCTGTCTAGTACTGTTCAGGTCTCCACCCAATAGCCAAAGTTCCCAGATAATATTCCCTCCGCCTTCCTTGTAGACAGAGGTGAACCTATGCTCTACATGTTACATGTGATGGGTAACAAATGCCCACAGACGTGGTGGCCTAAAGCCAGCCTCAGCCAGGCCACAAAGTGGCAGCAACCTTGGATGCCTGGGGCAGAATACCCTCACCTCCTCCAGCTCCGATGGCTGCTGGCGGCCTATGGAGGCTCGTCTCTGCCTCCGTGCTCACACGGCCTCCTCCTCCCTGTGCAGTGTCCCCCGTCTCTCATTTGTGAGTGCCCTTGAGGATGGCATTTCGGGTTCACCCAGATGTCCAGGATAACCTCCTCATCTCCAAAGCCTTAATTTAATCACACCTGCAAAAACTTAACCTTGTGAGGTTACGTTCTCAGATCCTCAGAATCAGGTGCTGACACCTTTCTGCGTCACCAGTCAGCGCATCACAAGCCCCAAAGCTTTCTCCCCCCACCGCCCCACCCCCCCAGGAGGGTCTAGGCCGGGCAGGTGCCCTGCCTGATAATCTACCAGGGCCCAGATTGAGGGCCCTAATAGAAAGTCCTTGCTTAGCTCATTTGCTGCTCTCCTTTTCTTTGTCTTCCTCTCAAGAGGAAGCGTAAAGTGTAAGGGAAGAAGAGGTCCAGCCCACGAATACGAGGAGAGCCCCAGTCTGGCTCAGCAGGGGGCTGGGACCAGGCCGGGCCTCTGGTGTCTTAGCCACCAAGAGGGCCCTTAGAACAGGAAAGTGAAAGGTTAGGATTTAGGCCCTCTTGCTAATCCCAAGATGAGGTGATTCACTTCCTATCTGCTGCCTCTTCCCTACTTAGGGGCTTTTAGGAAACCCCCAGGGCCTCAGAATTTACCCTTGGAACATGCAGAATTCATTCTTGTCCTAGCCAGGCAGACCCCACTTCAGGCTCACAATACCAGGAAGGCGCCTCCGGGCTCAGGCGTGTCTTCCCAGGCGCCCACTCCGCGGTCAAGACCATGACCCCAGACGGCGCTGTTCCTCTCCACTGTTTGGCCTCAGCAGTCTGCAGCCCCTAGGGACATTCCTATTCGTTGAACTGCTTTCCTGGGCTCCACAGGTAGGCACTCGGCCCTCTCCGTGAGGACACGCTCACCCGGCCTGTGAGAGTGTACATCCCAGCGGCTCCATCCGGGCCGGGCCTCAGGAGGGGGGCGTGGGAAGGGGCTTAGATAGATAGGGGCTGCTGTCTAGACAGCCACAATGTTCTGTCAGCCGTGTGGGTTGACGGGGCAGCCCCAGCTCTTGGGAAGCACAGGTCCTCATTCAAAGTCTGAAAAAGCTCTTTTCACTGAGTGGCACAGTACAGCGTTTAAAGAACTCAGCACTGGAGCCAGTCGGCTTGGGTTCCAACTGCTACTTGCTAGTGATGGGACATTGGGCACTTTAAAAAGGCCCCTGTGAGTTAACCTACAAAGTGATAGGGACGCCAGGGTACAGAGGAAACAGGATAACGTACGTGAAATACTTAGCACGGCACCTGGTAGTACGAAGTGTTGTGTGGATATTAGCAGTTCTTTTTTTTTTTTTTTAATGTTTTATTTATTTCTAGGAGAGAGAGAGAGAGAGACAGCGTGAGCAGGGGAGGGTCAGAGAGAGAGGGAGTCACAGGCTGAAACAGGCTCCAGGCTCTGAGCTGGCAGTCAGCACAGAGCCTGACGCGGGGCTCGAACCCACGAACCGCGAGATCACGACCTAAGCGAAAGTCGGACGCTTAACCGACTAAGCCACCCAGGCGCCCCAACAGTTCTATGATGAGCAGTGTTTCTCTCTAAGCAAGTCAGCGTTGGAACAGCTACTTCAGGAATTCAGCGCCTGAGCATTCTCCATATAAAATATTTTATTATAAAAAGCTTAGTTGCACGGCACTTTAGAAGGAACAGAGTTTCACAGCATGCTTCCCTTTTTTGCCCTTACACAGGTGAGACTAGGAAAGTTAGCCAGGAAAGACTCTGGTCTTATGCATCCCCGGGCTCTGGACCCTCAGAGAGCTGATGGCTTCGGGGGCTCGAGACAGCCCCACCTGTGCCTCGCTCCTCCCCTCCCCCTCCCCAAATCATTCAGCCTCTTCTCTTCATTCACGAAACGGGCCCGTGTCCTTTCTATAAGGCTGAGTCACATTTCCTGGCCACAGCTCAGGACTCTGGTGAGGAAAGCAAAGGCATAACTCATTTTCTCTTTGAAAGAAAACAGTCCTAGTGGAAGCAAAACAAAATTCACGACCTAATCCAGCTGCTAGGGGTCCCTCTCCTGATCGGAAAGAGAAGCGTTGTCACCAACAGCTCTGAGTCGGGAAGAACCACAGGGAAGGTGTCTACTCGGCGGCTCCCCCCCGCCAACGGGTCCACATCCCGAGGTCTGAGGCGGCAGCTCGTTCAGATGCACCTGCTACGTGAGGTTCTGTGGACGCCAGTCATCCCCTGGTCCCGGGACCCCCGACCCCCCACACCCAGCCACATCGATCTCTGTGCATCTGGCCCCTCTGCTTCTCAACGGCAGCTGAAGTGGCTTCCCTGGGGGTCCGTGGTGTGGAGGGTGAGCCACCGGAGGGCCACACCGAGTGGGGCCGTCAGTCAGGCGTCCGGGCGTCCGAAGGCTTCTCCTGGACTTCGTCGTACTGTGGCGGGGGAGTCAAAGGCTCGATGGAGGGAGGAGGGACATTTTTGTCCGGGAGGTTGATCCTGAAGTCTTTGAGGTGAAGCTTTTCTGATTTAATCCTTCGGACTTTCAGCGGCTTCAGGCGTTTGGCCAACTTGGAGTTCTGCCTGTCGGGCGGGTTCCCCGGGCTGGTCTCTGTGCTGGCCCTGGCTGCTGTGGGGCTCGACTCGTCAAGCCCCGTCAAGGACTCATAGGAGGGGAGAGAGACGCTCATCCTCGGGTTCTGGTCCAGGTCCCGCGCTTCTGAGTACTCTGTGTTCATCACTTCCTCGTAGCTGGGGACGTAGTACCTTGAGGAGGCATCCTCCTCCTCCTCCTGGCTGCAGGGTAACAAACAGCAACATGGAGAGGGTTAGCACGCACTCATGCCACTGAAAATCAAAGTAGGCGAGTTCCCCATCCCGGGTCAGCCCTGGGTCCTCCTCCAGAGCCTTGGGAACAACCCAGGAGTAACAAAAGCTGCCACTTCAACTGTTTGCTAGGAGTCTGGTGCTGTTCTAGGTACTTTAACGCATACCCACTGGTTACATCTTTCTAACAACGCTGTGAGTTAAGTACCGTCATTATACCCATTTTGTGGATGGGGAAGAGGATACATCGAGGTTATGTGACTCGGTCATAAATTTAGGAAGTGGGAGAACAGCAACTGGACACCACACTCTCACTGTGCCGTGGGCTTTTCCAGACTCCTGTCATCCCAGAGCCGTGACATTCGATGCGGCTAGGACCTCACCAAAGGTGCTGTTATAACCTCCTTTTCTCAATGTGGTACATTTATGGTCCCACGTTAGCCACTGTAGATCAATGGTGGCTGCGTGCAGAATGCCACTGAATGGGCGTGTCATAATGCAGCCTGAATGACGGATAGTTAGGTCGGTTCTCAGGTTTTGCTCTTCTCGGCAATGCTCTGCTAAACAGATGGGTACGGACTCCTTTGCGCTGTGTGACTATCTTCCAAGGATCATCCCTCAGAGACAGAAGGGACAGGTTCGTCCACACATCTCCAATACCCCCTCAGAAAGGGGGGGTCAGTGGCCACCCCCATTTCCCTACAGCTCTCCAACCCCGGGCACTGCCTGCCTTCGCCATTCCGATAGGCGAAGAATAATGACATCTACTTTGTGTTTTCGTTTTGTGCCTGATGAGGTTGACCATCTATTGTCTAAACATGAATGGGACGCTTGCTTGTATCCTTTGTCCATTTTCCTACCAGCGTGTTCATCTTTCACGTTTGTTTGTAAGGGCTCTTTCTATAGTCTGGACCTCAGCCTTTAACAGCTGTTCCCCAGCTCAGCGCTCGTCTCTCGAATGCGTTTGTGGCATCTCTGGTCCAAGGCACACACCACAGCGCGCCGGGGTAAATGCACGGGCAGTATGTCTGGTGGGGCTCGGGCCACCCAGGCCCCGTGCGGCTTCCCCGCGGCTGTCAAAATCTTGGTACATCTGTGACCCGTTCATACTGCGTTATTTGGGACGCTCTGGGGTAGAAGTGTATTTGGGCAATTATAAACGGCTGTACGGAGCCTTAGTGGGGGGAAGTGGGAGGGTAGAGTCTCCTAGGCTAAAACGGGGTCTTCGGTGAGCCCTGGGAGCGTGCCCACGTGTGTCCCCCGCCCCCCCCACCGCCACGCCCCGGTCTGGGGGGTGCGAGCCGGTCCTCACCTGTCTTCCTCCGGGGCTTGCTGCTCGGCCCCCGCCTGGTGTTGGATGTGGGCCATCTCCTCGCTCTGCCGCCGCTTTCTCTTGTCCCGGATGCTCAGGCAGATGGAGAGCAGCAGCAGCATCACCCCGGCCCCGACCAGCACGTAGGCCACCGAGAAGGTCTTGCTCTTGAGGATCCCGCTGCCGATCTCGGTCTTGTTCCCCTGAGCGGTGGGCTTCTCGGCGGCGCTGAAGCCGGGCACCAGGTTCCACATGGCCATGATGACCCCGAGAACCAGCATCCCCAGGCCGATGGCGGTCAGCGCGTAGTGGGAGCCGTTGGCCTTCGACTGGGCCATCATGCCAGCGGGGGCAGGGCGAGGCCCGGCTCAGAGGAGGGAGATCGAGAGAGAAGGGCAGAAGCGGCAAAGAGCAACAAACACCCGCTCAACGCGCTGAACAAAGTCCCTAGGGCCCCACTGAGGCAACAGCGGCTGAGCTCTCAAGGGAGGGCATCGAGAAAGTTCGAGGCATCCCGTGGGATTGGCTGTGGCCGAGAGATCTGGAAGGAAAGCGCAGAGAGGAGAGAGGAAGGTGAGTTCGGATCCGAGACGCTCTGTGCGCCCAAGCAGCTACCACACCGGACGGAGCCAGGGCTCTGGCCCGGCCTCGCCTCTGATGCCTTCCAGATGCATCACGGGCTGCGCTCGGCTCCCTCTGTGCGCCTGCGGGAGGAGGGCTGGTCCGCCCACCACACCCAAAAAGGAAAAGCCAGACCTTTCCATGCAGGAGACCAGAAAGGTCAGAGCTCTGGGTCCTTAAAACATTTGTGGAATTTAATGAAGTGCAGTGAAATCTGAGCTCTCACTAGGTCCAGCGGGGAGCGAGAAGGACGGGATGCACAGCTGGGGTCAGTCAGCGGTACCTAGGTCGCCTGGGTGCGGGGCATCCGTCAGTGAAATGTCCCAGTCCACACAGCCTACGGTCTGGTCACCACCCTCAATGGCTCCCCGTTTCCTGCAGCAGGAAGCCCAGGCTCCTAGAATCACGCCTGTGACTCCCTCTCCCCCCTACCCCGGCCCCCACTCTCTCCCCGCACCCTTCTCCGCCACCCCCTCTAGCCTCTCTGCAGCTGTCTGGTCACCCCTGCTCAGCTGCTCCTCTCTGGGGGCTCCCACAAGCCCCCGCAACTGCTGTGGCCAGGCCCCCTTCATCTTCGCACCAAGGACGTGGCAGGGACTGCAAACATGTCTGCCGATTCACTGAATGAAATTCACAGAGGCCACCCGAAGCCATGATCTGAGGCTAGCCTCCCTTCAGCCATACGGAGTTTTGTTTTTCTTTTTTTTAATGTTTATTTTATTTTTGAGAGAGAGAGAGAGAGAGCACATGTGTAGGAGGGTAGAGAGAGAGGGAGACACGGAATCCGAAACAGCTAGCTGTCAGCACAGAGCCCGACGCGGGGCTCGAACCCACAAACTGCGAGATCATGACCTGAGCCGAAGTCGGAAGCTTATCTAACTGCGCCACCCAGGAACCCCCGGGGTTTTGCTTTTCTTAAAGGGGCAAGCTTCTGCCCCTTCCTCATCGTAGCTGCCATGCCCGGCTGCATGAGATACCCTCTTCCCCTGAAGCATCTCAGAGACCCTGCGCTAAAGGGAGCAGCTCCCCGTCCTGGGGTTCCATGATCATTTGTTGGCTGGGAGAGTGAGTCAGACACGCAAGGCCCCTGAAGGTTTAGCTCAGAACACTCTCAGGGACTAGATGGACCAGCGAGCAGCACCGTTCCGGGCTATTCCCGGGATAGCAACCTTTGTAGAACAGTAAAACTTGACAGATGTTTGGATGGGCGAGGCCCTGTGTTCAATTCTGCATTCTTTCCAATCTTTCCAGAAGGACAGCTAACCAGGCCACTTGAAATCTAATCCTGCAGAGATATTTTCTCATCAAACAACGGGCTCAAATCTGAAACTGGCCACTTTGTTAAAAAAAATACTCTAAAAATATTTAGGATAATCCCCTTTATTGGCTTCGGGTCTATTCCTTCTTTTTTGCACTCAACAAATATTTCTTGCACATCTGCTAAGCAGTGGTAGGCACTGGAGAAACACCAGTGAGCAAGTTAAGGGCTAGTGGGGCTTCTGGGACAGCAGGAAAAAGTCTACAAGGAAAAACAGCAAAGTGGGAAGAAAGTGTAGATGCCGTAATTTGGTAGGTGTGTGTCCTATACGGAAAGTCTCCGTGAGTGAGAAGTCCCACTACACACAATAGGGTCTGCACCCTGTTCGTGCTGTCTTACATGTATTTGTGCGTATGCACATATGCATACACCCTGGTGCACGGACATGTATGCGTGTGCATGCAGGGCACTGAACAAGGACCCCATCCCGCTGCAGCCAGTGGCAGTGGGATCAGTGAAAAGTATACACAAGGGTGTTTGTTTCTTCCAATAGCACTCACAGCCAGCAAAGGAAAGGAGGAGGAGACTGGCGGTTCTGCCATATGGATCTGAGACAGTGCCAGCAGGGGAGGGCTCTGGGTGCAGAGGTGCAGCCTGAGGCTGGTGCGGGAAGCAGGAGATGAAAAAGTCCATTACTGAGCACCTGCTGGAGGGTCCGGCAGGTAGGCTTGTACCTGGAGGGCTGGCAGTGTGTTTTCTGAACCAGTGATCTGGGCCACCTCAACATTCCACCTTCCCTGCTCTCTCAACTCCAGCTTTGGGTTTATCCTGTCGCATGAGTAAAACAAGCCTCAGGTAAGCGCCGCCGACAGAGATGAAAAGGTCAGGATTCGTACACTTGAGCCCGTCCAATTGTCAGTGGTTGAAAACAGGCAATAATACCCAGTATGTATAATGGGATTGGGATAAGCCATTTCCTATCATTTTTCTGGATGGTATGTAGGGATCAAATGTTTCAAAAATGCTTATACCGTTTGGCTCTGTAATTCCAACTTCTAAGAATTATGTACGGGGCGAGAATAGTCATCGTAGCTTTGTAGGATTGGGAAACTAGACACTACTTAAATAGCCAATAATCTGCATCTGGGTAAATAAAATACAGTATCTGTGTTTATTAAATTATAGTTTCCAGCCAGCTAATGATACATTTTAAAGTCAAACAAGGTTAAAGAAAACGGTATGTGCAGTGAGATTATAATTAAAAAAATTCTATCCATAGCCGTGTATATATGAACACACAGGAAAGAAGCCTGGACGATCCTCCTTATGTTAACACAAAGAGATAAAGTATTTTCATATATATTAACACGTTAGTAAAAATCTCAGAGGAGGGACACTTTCCAAATTCAGCAATGACTGCTTCTGAGAAGGGAGAGGGCTTGGGGAGTATAGCGTTTACTCCATTTCTGTATTTTGAATGGGTTACAATCGGACTGTGTTGTTGCAAGGCGACTTAGCTTGGTGGTTAATCGTGAACTTTGGAATCAGCGTGGATCCTCACTCTACTTTCCTAGCTGTGTGACTCTGGGCAGGGTACTTAACCTGGCTGTGCCTCAGTATCCACAACTGTAAAGCGGAAATAAAAGCTTTCTAGTACTCACTTCATAGGTGATTTTTTTTTTAATTTTTTCAATGTTTGTTTATTTATTTATTTTACATGTTTTATTTATTTCTGAGAGAGAGAGACAGCGTGAGCAGGGGAGGGTCAGAGAGAGAGGGGATACAGAATCTGAAACAGGCGCCACGCTCTGAGCTGGCTGTCAGCACAGAGCTTGACACGGGGCTCAAACCCACGAACAGTGAGATCATGACCTGAGCCAAAGTTGGACGCTTAACCAACTGAGACACCCAGGTGTCCCCAATGTTTATTAATTTTTGAGACACAGAGAGACAGAGTATGAGTGGGGGAAAGGCAGAGAGAGAGGGAGACACAGAATCTGAAGCAGCCTCCAGGCTCTGAGCTGTCAGCACAGGACCCAACGCTGGGCTTGCACTCACAAACTGAGATCATGACCTGAGCCGAAGTTGGACGCTTAACCAACTGAGCCACCCAGGCGCCCCAGGAGAGTTTTGATAAGTGAACAAGTCAAGATATATAAAGCACCAAGAACTGCGTGTGACCAGCACAAGTGTAGGTTCTTATAAAAAGATTTGTTATTTAATATCATGTAAAGCTTGCGTTCTCAGTGGGGCGAGACCACCCACGAAGGGGGGCAAAGATTGGTTCTTGGGGATGGTGCAAAACAGTCTTGGATATTATAATGGCTTGGGGCCCTCCATAATACATAAATAGACACACTAAAATTTCATAAGGTGGGGGCATTACAAAAACAATGTCTAAAAAGACTCTTTAGGGGACAACATTGGGGGGAAAAGGTTGAGAAACACTATTTAATGTCTTACATTAAATTTCAAAACACTCAAATTATGCATACCTCGGTGGTTTTAGTTGGTGTGTGTGTGTGTGTGTGTGTGTGTGTGTGTGTGTGTGTGTGGTGGGATTCGAACAATTTTTATTGTCTTTTTCTTCCTAGAAGAGTAAGAATTGGAAACAGAAATGTGCCTGTGTTGCTCTTAGAAAAAACAAATAAAATAAAGGTTTTTGTGTTTGGGGGTCGTGGCCGATGGTCGCTTCACATCGCTCGTGGGTTCCGCCCTCCCTCTGCAGCCCAGGACCCTGGTGGGTCGTCCTGAGAATGCGGAAACCCCAGAGCTGCAGCTGCTGGCTATTGATGTTGTTTCTGGCTCGTTGGCCCACGTTATATTTAGTATGATGTTCTTTCCCATTCAAAAATATGGAAAGAAGCTAATTTTGTGCTTGGAGGATTTGGAGCACATAGTTTCCAACACGTCCCTAAATCAGGGCAGCCTTGGCGGGCAGCGTAGGGTCCCAGCTCAGTGAGACTCACCTCTGACTGGACCCATCGCGGCTCATGGTCAAGGGGGGCCTGCGGGATAAGTGAGTGATCCTATACCTGGGTGTTCAAGAAAAGTTGTTAAGCAGGTAAGGGAAGCACGTACCTGTTGTTACCTGGGGCGCTCAGGGCAGTCTGGGAAACAATTCTTCATGCTAAAATCTTGAGTAAAGGACCCACCTGTAAAAAATCAGAAACACGGCTTTCTAAGTAAGCAGTGAGCATTTCTTTCTTTAAAAAAATACTTTTTTAACATTTATTCAGTTTTGAGAGACAGAGAGTGAGTGGGGGGTGGGGCACAGAGAGAGAGGGAGACACAGAATCTGAAGCAGGCTCCAGGCTCTGAGCTGTCAGCACAGAGCCCAACACGGGGCTCGAACTCAGGAACCGTGAGATCATGACTTGAGCCGAAGTTGGACACTTAACCGACTGAGCCACCCAGGCGCCCCAGCAGTGAGCATTTCAATCTCAGGTGCTTCTTGGGTGAGTAGGTATGTGTTTCCTTTGTTTTTTCTTGGGAGAGGGAGGGCATTAGTTGGGGTACATGCAAGAAGTGTTCCAAAAGAAACCAAGGCCCTGTACCAAAAAAGGGGGGCCGTGGAAGGAAGACAGTCCGGTAGCTGCATTTACCACACCCTTACGTGGTTCTATCCATCTTACACACGTGCTTCGGAGGCTTGAAGCAGAGGAAACACTCCCCCAAGTCACTTTATGAGGGGTGTATACTCGATCCCCAAAGTAAACACAGACAAGGCAAGAGAGGAAAATGACTGGCCAGTGTGATCTGTGTGCACACACACAAAAGTCCTAAACAAAATGTCAGCAAATGGAATCCCACGATGTCGTTTTAAAGGCAGACATTTACATCATACATCACAATCGCGTCGGGTTTATCCCAAGAATGTAGGATTGGCTCAACAGGAGGAAACACATGATGCCCGGTGCCAGGAAGAAGGATAGGCCAGGATGGCATTAGCCACTGGGGTATTACATGGCCATGAAAATGAATAACCCACAGCTACATGCACCGACGTTGCCCATTTTGACAAACGTGATGCTGAACGGGAAGGCCATCCCGCATGTTTCCATCTATAGGAAGTTCCGAATGAGGCAAAACCAAACAACATGTTGCTATTTTTGTAATATGAGGAAGAAATGCAAAGGTTGTAAACTAAAATTCAGGATCATAGTTACCTCCTTGGAGGAGGGAGAAACAGTGCCTAGAGAGGGGACAGAGAAGGGTACGTGGGTGTTTACTTATTACATGACTCCTTAAACCTCATAGATCTGACAGAGACCCTTTTGATTGGTTGAATTATTTTGCAATAGTAGGAACTGAATAGGAATTTTAAAAGCCCATCAACATTTTCCCAACACTCTTAGCATAAAATCCAAACTCTTTTGTCCCACCAGATTGGATTGGCTCCTGCCTCTCTCATCCCTTTTCTCTTGGCTCACCAACCCTCAGTGACTTCTGTTCTGTTTTTCCATTCACACCAAGCACCTCCTGCCACAGGGCCTTTGTACTTGCTGTTCCCAGTACCTGAAACACTTTGCCATCTGTCTCTTTGGTCTGGCTATTTAAAAAAAATTTTTTTTTCATGTTTATTTGTTTTCAAGAGAGAGACACACACAGAGTGCGAGCAGGGGAGGGTCAGAGAGAGAGGGAGACACAGAATCTGAAGCAGATTCTAGGCTCTGAGCTGTCAGCACAGAGCCCGATGCGGGGCTTGAGCCCATGAACTGCGAGATTATGACCTGAGCTGAAGTTGGCACTTAACCGGCTGAGCCATCCAGGTACCCCTGGTCTGGCTCCTTTTTACTACTTCTGTCTCTTAGCTCAAATTCCATCCCCTCAGCAAGGGTGTCCCTAACCGCTCTATAAAAAATAGCCCTCCTTCACCCAGCTACCTCCTTGACGACATTCCTTCCCATGGATGGATGACGTTACTTCACAATCTATAATAGTATTGTTTTGTTTTCTTTTTGGCTCCCTGGTTCCCCTGCTGGACTATAAACTCCCTGAAATAAACTTACCATTACGGAAGCTAACAGTGCTTAATAACTATTCATAGAACGAATATCTGGCAAGTTAAAAAGTTTAATGTCCCACATCAATTTGCTGAAATTCCTAGCCCACAGTTGGCCCCGAGGGGGAGAGGATTGGTCAGAGCAACTTTCAGGAGTATCTGGTACGCAGGCGATTTGCTGACAACATGGAGGAGGTGCTCAGGTTAATTCTGATTTCCGTCCGGGCCCAAGGGGGTGACTACCAGCGTGCCCTGGTTGGGCTGAGATGTCGGCGTTCCCTGGCATTTCTAGGCAGGAGTCGGCAGGGGTGAGAACCCTGAGCCTCCTTCCTGTTGGGCAGCCGCGGGCTTCCCTCCCAGCAGCAGCCCTGGCCCAACCAGAGGCAGCATGGATTTCGGGGTGGGGGCGGGCAGTCACAGCCCTGGACACGAGATGGACATGAACGCACCCCACTCGGCCGAGACCCCAGTCCATCCCACAGCTAGACTGGAGTTTCTAGGCGTCCAACATGAAGACGACGTCTGGAATAAAATCAAACGAAAGAAAAGGAAAAGAGGCTCTGTTCTGGCTGAAACGGAGCCAAGGGTCCCCAGTGATGGTGGAGCGTTCCCTTGCCCCGTTCCTGCAGGATCCCAGAAGTTCTCTGGAATGCGGTTTAGAAACCGAGGATCTGATCTAGACCCGTGGGCGGCCGCGAAGCTTGCCCCCTGGCCCAGAGACGTCCCGCCTTCCCTGGGAGGGGACCTCAGGCCTGGTGGTGTGACCAGTTCCCAGGACAAAGAGCCTCCTTGACCATCTCCCTGTGCCCCCAGCTCTTCCTGCCAAGCTGCATAATTGGGAAAGGGATCCCCCCCACCCCCACCCCACTGCATTCGCAGGGAACCAGGCCACATTCCCATCACAAAGGAAGAACTCAGTGGGGCCCTCTGGGCCAAGTTTCAGCCCTGAGTCACTTTTGTCACCAAGTTCCGGTCCCATGCAGTGGGGACAGGAGGAGAAGGGGCCTGAGCCACCACTGCTGCTGCTCCCCTCCTGCCTGGGAGGGTCAGGCCACCTCCCTCCCAACCAAGGTCAAAGGCATCAGGTTCCCATTCATTCAGAGCACGTTCTTGTAGACTGAGCACCTGTGGCCAAATGAGTCATACAGGTAGAGGGGAGGGAGGAGGGCTGCCTGGGCCCCGAGAGAGCCGACAGTAAAGCAAAAGAGGCTAAGTGATCCTCGAGGCAGAGAAAGAACCGTAGGAGGGGCAGTGGAAGTCCCAGCAGCAGCAACCTTCAAGGAGAGAGGAGCCCCACCATCCCGGAATCTCAGAGAGGTTACAAAATCCGCCCCAGGGCACACAGCGCTAAGCAGATGGCAAGGTTCAGGGTCAAGTCCAGCCGACTTTGCAAGCGCCCCTCCTTCCCTTGTACCACAAGGCTCCCTGGGCAGGGTGGGCGGGGACAGAAAGGAGCGCTGCAGTTTCTTCTAGGAGATATTTCATCACCAAAGCACGAGGGATAACAGGTGTGCCTTTCTTTTAAAATGGCTTTCTAAAAAATAAAAAATAAAATAAAATGCCTTTCTGAAGGATCTGAGTCCCACAATTCCTGGGTCCCTATTGTGTGCCAGGGGCTTCACGGGGACACATGGATGTGTGAGATACTTTTGCAGTCCAGCAGGAAGACACGTGACTCTTTCTCATAGATGGGAAGTCAACATCAGGTAAGTAAGAGTGAACGTGTGTCAGGTACCAACTCTGTGATAGGCCCTGTGTCCATATCAAGTGTATGATCCCCTGATAATTATTATTTCTATTTTACATAGAAGGACACAGAGGCTCAGAGAGGTAAAGGAACTGGTCCAAATTTGCACAGCTAGTATAAAAGGCAGGTATAAGGTATGTCTGATTCTGAAACCCATAAATCACAAGGTAGGACTGCTAAAATGGGGCACATAAAACGAGCCTACAGAAGGGGCGACACCTTAGCATTGAAGCAGGTGGGGAAGGAAGACCCAGAAGCTGTGCAAGGCCTTGAGGTGTATGTAGATTTACCCTGGGTGGAGTTTGGGGGTAAGAGGGGATTAGGGAGATCTGTGGGGAGGGTTCAGTCTGAGAAACTGCACAGAGATGGGAGAGGACAGTTCCCAGAACCTAGCACTTGCTGCAGTGAGAAGAGAAGGGAGTGGTGAAATTTTTAAAATGTGTATTTATTTTTGAGAGAGAGAGACAGAGCACGAGCTGGGCGGGGAGGGGAGGGGGGCAGAGAGAGAGGGAGACACAGAATCCCAAGCAGGCTCCAGGCTCTGAGCTGTCAGCACAGAGCCTGATGGCGGGGCTCGAACTCACAAGCTGTGAGATCGTGACCTGAGCTGAAGTCAGGCACTTTAACCAACTGAGCCACCCGGGCGCCCCTCAGTGTTTCTTGGGAAATGTGACATCGCTATGATTCCCTGCCAGGACCGAGTCTGGTGCCCATGAGATGCAAGGCAGGAAGTAGGGCTCCTACTCAAAGCTAGTCTGACACCTTGGTCCTTCTCCAGGCCACTGGTGGCCCGTCCCACCCTGGTGAGCAAGGCCGCGCGCAGGCGCTGACCACCCTACCCGGCCCTGGCACCCAGCCAGCAGCAGGACTATCTGCTACTGTTTCCTGGACGCTACTGTGTGCTGGGCTCACACGAAGCGCTTTGCATGGGCTGCGCTCACTCACTCTACCCCAGCATCGTATGAGCGAGGTGCTCTTACCCCCACCTTCATCCGTGCTATCGCTGAATCCACTGAGGCACAGAGAGGTTGAGAAACTTGCCCCAGGTCTCACCATGTGTAAGTGGTGGTCATGTGCACAGAGCCTCAGCCAAACTCTCCAGGGCAAGACAGGCGGGGCCTGAGGCCAGCGGCACGTCCTCCCCCAGACAGGGAGCTGCGGCCACTTCGCCGCTCGGTCAGTGTGCCGGCTGCCCGCCAGGCTCATGCGAACACGGGCACCACGTGGACGGTGCCGATGTCCTTGTGCAGGTCATTTTGGATGCTGACATGAGTCATTCGTCTCTCCTCCCCAAGGGGCATTTTGGAGCAAAACGTAGGCAGACGGGAGAATTTGACTCAGGGACCGCACAGACTGTTTCGGAGTCTCGCCCATGCCCAGCACGCGGTGGGCTTCCCAGGGTG